AACCATCCCCCCCACAAGGGATGCCTTATCCAAGAGGACTTCGGTTTCTTCTCTTCATCCTTTGAGTTATCTTGATTTTCTTAAGTCTTTTTTGGACTCCACTCGCGGACAACAAGAACTTTACTATTGGGAAGTTCGACTTCAAGTAAAACATGTGTTCTACAAGAGAGGAAAGAGATAACGCTTCACGAGGATTTGGTCAAGTCACCTTGATCCTAGCTGAACTTTAGTATTTTAATTCCACTCCAACTTTGCATTGTTCATAATTCTTCAAATCTAATTCTACAAAATAAATTAATAAAATAAAAGAAGTGCAAGCTGAGTCACCTTGGGATACCCCAACCTAAGAAGGACACTATAAGCCGCCAAGAGAGAAGAGCTTTTATTTTAGTTGTTGTCTATTTAGTTTAATTATTATTTTAATACAATTTTGGGTTGTAATTAAATTAAGAGTTTAATCAAGATTTTAATTTCTGAGTTCTATTAGAATTAGACAAGTGAATGCCTATATAAAGGCTTCCCTCCTTCAGTTGTAATCATTCAATCTCAGATCAATAAAAATTATTCAGTTGTTTACTTTAAACTATTGCTAATTGTGAGTGTTCAACCAAGTGAGGTTTCTTTAACCGTCTTGTTGAGTTTAGTAATTGGATCAACTTATCAAGGTGTACTTGTAACGTCCTTCCGTTCCTGTTTTAATTCCTAATTACCTTGGTTTACATTCACAAGTTGAATGTGGGTTAAGTAAGAAAGATTTATTTAAGAATTTAAGTTATCTGCATGCTGATGTTATATGTGGGATTTTTGATTGCATGTGTTGATCCTAGGTTCCGCATTAGAAAATCTATTGACAGAAATTTTTATATGGGTTAAAAAGAGTCTTTTTGGAGTTCGGTTTGGTTTGGAAAGTCTCCTGAAGTTGTGATGGAGTTTGGTTTACACTGGAGTTGACCATTTTGTTTTTGTTCATCATTTTGTTGTTGGAAATTTTTTTGTTATCATGTATGTTGATGATATTGTTATCGCATGTGACAATAAGAAGGGATTCAAGAGTTCAAGCTTTAAATTCAAAATTAAGAATAAATATTTGGAGCCCTTGTGGTACTTGTTTGGTATTGAGGTAGCTATATCAAAATTGTAATTTGTTTGTGACAAAAAATGTGGTATGGGCTAACATTATATAACCCAATTGAGACATTGTAGAATAGGCTAACCCTCTCTTAATATCTTTTTGAGCAAGAGCTAAAGTAACTTCTAATAATACTATTATTATACCTATCAAAGAAATTAGATACATTATGTAAGGTATGCCTATGAAAAGAGGAAGAAGCCAAGCTACAAGAAAATTCCTGCCGCTACCATAATAGCAGCATGTATAAGAGCCGAAATAGGAGTAGGACCTTCCGTCACATCAGGTAACCATACATGAAGTAAATTTCTGAATGAGATAGGGTGTTGGGACCTAAACCAGTTAATACTCCTCGGCCGCTAATCTTGAATTAGGTGCAGATGGGAGTGAACTGTCGTGTGTTTAACAATTCAATTACCTCCTTGTGACACATCCAGGAATTTTGTTTCACTGTGAGTTTTATAAGCCACTTTGTGGAATCTCCTTGAACTAGTAATTGAAATTGGTTGTGCATCTTAAGATTTCTTAATGGTGCAGTTGAGTGGATTGCTCTATAGAATCATGGGTATACTTGGATATGGGGATAGAAAAGTTAATTGAGCTGGTTTTGCTTTTAATCTTAGATCTAGCGCTTGCTTTTGTGTCTTTATGTGTGACAAAATGGTGTCCTGGAAGAGCAAGAAGCAAACTATAGTTGACAGATCTAGTATTGGGTTCAGGAAATTGAGCTGTGGCTCATACTACATGAGTTGATTTGATTGAAAGATCTATTTTATGAATTTGGTTTTCATAATCACAACCAAGCAATGATCCATATTTCTTAGACACAATTTTTCATGAGAAAATTGAATATATTGAGTTTTTTTTTTTATTTTTTATCATTTTAGTCGAGAAAAGATTCTAAAAAAATGTGATTAAGACCATTCATCTGAAGTCAGCAAACTAACTAGCTGATGTACTTACAAAATCCTTACATGTTTGTGTGAAGTTCAATTGTAATAAACTTGGTGCAGATAGTACATATGCTCAAGCTTCAAGGGGAGTGCTGCAGTATAAATATCTTTCCTTTTAGTTATTTTCTTTGTATGATCTTTCTTACAAAGTTAATTTTCTTATGTATTGGTTTTCTTTTCTCGGATACATATTCCCATAAATATTAATATTTTCTTTTGAACATATGTTGAACTTAAAACATTTGTACAACTTGGTGTAGGAGCCAGTTGTTGCTCTGTTTTTGTTAATTAGTTTCAGCAAATGTAGGGTATATTTGTGATTGATTCACGTGTTGTGCCTTGTAGGCTTGCATGTGAAGGTATGTGTTGTATAAATAATAGATTAACTGCTTTTCTATTATGTTAAACATTTTGGATTGATCATAATCAATCATTTAACAAAAGCAAATGGAGTCTCAATTACTACTTTTGACACGATAATCGTTTATTGCGTCCCTGAGTTGAATTTGGTGCTGCACTGGTGCTCGAGTTCAGCTGCAAATTTCAATTTTTTTCTTGACCTTGTAAATGTATATTGTGATGGCAGTGGTAAGACACTACGTGATTTCTTGGAGGCCCTTCCCCGGGAATGGATTCCTGAAGATCTGATGGAAGCACTTGTCAATAGGGGAGTCCATCTATCTCCCACAATGTGAGGGGAAGAATCATATAATTGTGCTATTTTGAATTTGTTAGGTGTATCAATATGCATGCCTGTTCTTATATTGGCAATGACTTTCAGATTTGAAGTGGGAGATTGGGTTAAGTTCAAAAGAAGTGTCACGATGCCAACATATGGATGGCAAGGTGCAAAACATAAGAGTGTTGGCTTTGTGCAAACTGTTCTGGACAAAGATAATCTGATTGTATCATTTTGTTCCGGTGAGGCTCGTGTTTTGGCAAATGAAGTTTTGAAAGTGATTCCCCTAGACAGGGGCCAGCATGTTCAGCTTAAAACAGATGTCAAAGAGCCAAGGTTTGGTTCTATACTGTTTCTATTATAATTTATTTTCTAAGAAAAACATATTTCATGTTACTGGAAAGAACTTTGAAATTTGGTTACAACGGTTAAGCTTTTAGGTTAAATTTCTTTTATGCCAAATTCACCAATTTTTTGCCAAGTTGATCATTGATTTGCAATGAGCCTTTTAGCTTCATAACTCGTAGTTAGCCATATCTAGGTGTAAGCAAGCCAGCTTTGACCAAAATGTTCGTCTGGGGCAAGTACTAAATCTTAATATCTTTGTTGTGCTTGGTTTTGGTTCCGGTAAGAAGTTGTTCGGTAATTCGGATTTACTTGTACGTATCCAAACCTGACCTATGTAATTTACAAAATCAAAAAGGTGTTTATAAAATTTAATTAGGTACTGGTAAGCACCTTTAGGATAAATTTGCATATTGGTTAAGCTCCTTTTAGCAATGCCAATGGGTTCTAGGCCCAGTTAAAATTAGTTTGAAATATATTGTTAGAAATAGAGGAAAAATGTCAGATTTCTGCTAACGACATCATACAACTACTCAAATTGTTGGTCTCATCGATATTTATTAGTGGAGCAATTGAAACTTTTCGTTACAAGACGTGTATTATAGTTTCATTAGCTGGCTCTTTTTTTTATGCTTGTGCAAAAAATTGAGAAAAAAAATCTACTTCATGATTATAAAAATTTGTAACTCATCTCAAGACTGATCTTTAGTTACCTTAGTTTCTCACCAGCCTGTTTGTGCAATTTCTTAATTAGGGTTAAATATCTGATGAGTTATCTTGTTCTCAGGTTTGGTTGGCGAGGTCAATCACGTGACAGTGTTGGTACTGTTTTGTGTGTTGATGATGATGGGATTCTGCGAGTTGGGTTTCCTGGAGCATCCAGAGGTTGGAAAGCTGATCCTGCAGAAATGGAAAGAGTTGAGGAGTTCAAGGTTGGAGACTGGGTTCGTATCCGCCCATCTCTTACATCAGCAAAGCATGGTTTACGATCTGTAACGCCAGGGAGTATTGGTATAGTGTATTGTATCAGACCAGATAGTAGTCTCTTGTTGGAAATAAGCTATCTTCCAAATCCATGGCACTGCGAACCAGAGGAGGTTGAGCCTGTTACCCCTTTCAGGTACAGAGAATCTTGTTAATGCAAGTTGTTAATTTTGTCAATTATTTCTTTA